TTGATGTTCCAGAACCTTTCAATCTGATGGAGAATTATTGTGCTTCTCTAGGTCACAAGGCCAATCACTCCTTCACTCCCAATTGCAAATATGATCCGTGAGTGTTAATGTTCATTTTAGTAATATACAGAGATGTAGTGCTTTTGTTTCCTATATTAAACTGAGTAGCATTTTGTTAGATATTTAAATATAAACAATCTTATTGTTGGACAAAAATGGGTTAGTCATGTAACAGCTGTTTTTACCTGTCAAGGTACATCCATCCTCGTTTTGGGCAAATAAAATGCATCCGAACAATCCATGCTGTGGAAAAAGATGAAGAACTCACTGTTGCTTATGGTTATGACCATGAGCCATCAGGGAAGTCTGGTCCAGAGGCACCAGAATGGTACACAAAGCAATTGCTGGAGTTTCAGCAGATGGAGTCTGGAAAAGGTGCTGATGAGACCTGCTAAGATGCTCACCACCGCTGTCTGAAAAAACATGATCTCCCATCCCAGCCTATAACTACCACCAGAAACTCTTCTTTGACCTTCTTGCAGCTAACACTAATAAGTAATCACTCTTCTGAACTGATTTCTGTCATCCTCATCAGTTTACAAGGATTGTAACTGTGAAATCCTCGAATCCAAAATTCTATGGTTCTACAACGTGGAAGGACTAGTATGTGTGTCAGTTGGTGACTGATTTGGTTACACAACAAGAATACAGAGACTGACAAAGAGCAAGTGATTTAAAGGCACTTTGGCTGAAATCCATGGAGTGGAGTTTGAAAGTTTTAAAGACCGATGTCACGATTCTTGGAGGTATATGACCTCTTTACCACAACTTGTGATAACTATGCAGTATTAAACCAGTATAGTGTCTTTTGCTGCTCTTCTCATGTTCTTCATGAGAACTGAAAATATAGTTATTTTTTTTGTTGATATTACCAACAATTATTCTTGTAAAACAATTTGTTCTGTCTCCTTTTGCATGTGCGAACAGCTACAGTTACGTTTAAATAGGCTCTAGTAGTCTTGAAGTACAGTATTACACAGACAGAGCTGTTTATTTATTTGTGTTTTTTTTTCAAGAAAACCTGAATGAAAAATTGACACCATTAAAAGAAAGTTAAGTAAGGTGTACTGTATGTGTGGGGGTAAAGACTGAACAGAATGTACAGTATTTGAGAATAAGGCACAAGGTTAAGAGAAATATTTCTACTGAACTAAACTTCAGCTTTTGATATGCAAAGGCTATCAACAAAGATTTATCAATAAAAACTCCAGCATAGAACACAATTGGACTCATCTTTTCAGTGTTCTCAGCTATAATATTATTACTAAAATGTTGAAAATATGAATCAGGTTTTCTCTAAGCCAAAATGGAGGAATATTCAATGCCCAAGTAATTAGGTCACGTCAACACTATAAATATCCACACTGTCGGGGCGTGGTCATCGTGCTGCACCTGCGCGCGCTCCAGGTAAATGAGTGACACGCTGGGTTTCACCGCTTGCTTCCAGACAAAAGCGGTCCGGAAGTGATAAGGCAAAACGGCACAGGTAAATACTACATTTATTCTACTTTATAGGACTTATACACCACTTTATACATATTAAATCGGGCGTAGCATAGTTTAAGTATAGTTTAAGTTTAGTAAAATTAAGTTGATAAAGTCGTTTTGTAGTTTCAGAATCAACGCACAACGTGGAAAACGATCGTGACGATTTCAAGTCATTAGACGTTTGATAGAGGATCCAGCTCCGTTCGGAGACATAATAGTGAAGGATTTTTCTCTTTTAAATGATATATATGAACGTGAAACACATTACCTCTTCTCTCTCCGCTGAAGGCCTGAGATGGACCGTTACAGGTATTTTATCTTCAATCAGAAGAGTGTGGTGGTCCTCGGCATCCTTCAGGTGGCGTGCGCGGGGCTTTGCGTGGTTTGCGGATTTATGGATGCAGTCTTCCGCAAGAGCTCTACTCTGAGTGAAACTAGGGCTCCACTCTGGGCTGGACTGGTGAGAAACCTTAAAACAGACCATTTATTTACTTTAATATGACTTAACGTAGTTATAGTTCCCACGTTAATCTATAATTCACCATCCCTGTTTTCCAGTATTGTGTAGCAAACTGGGACAGAGTCAAAGTCAGGTAAAAAAGTTGTTAGGAAAAATAGAATTAGCGTTTGTATCTCATATTAAAACGGATCACATTTAGCTATTTTATAATTTTACCATGACTTTCCTTCGTAGCCATTTACTGTAAATGTTTCTCACTGCTGTAATGTGGTTTAGGATTAATTTATTAATGCTGATTTTTAGTGATTGAAGATTATACACATTATGATGAAGAAGGTTAGGCCTAGGTATCACCCTCTTGACTTGTATTCACCCTCTTGTGGCATGTGTCTGCACTAAGAGACAGTGATTCTGCAGGGCCCCAAACAGGACTGGTGATGGAAAAAAATTAGATGTTAGGAAAAATGCTTTTGCGTTCTCTCTGTAAGATTGCATTCCCTGAGAAACTTTGCATTCTCTTCCAAAACCTCTGAAATATAGTTTTTTTTTTTTCTCATATTATTTACATCACAAAGGTTTGCGAGCAAATCTGAAGTTTCTTGGGGGAATGTAAAAGTTTTGTGAGAAAATACAAAAGCATTTAAAATATTTTTTTTTTCTCTCATCTCATTTTATTTACCATCACCCTTGAGATGCTTGATATGATTCTATAAAGTTTATTTCACTTTTTCCTCCTCTTTTAGATTATGGCTGCCCCTGGTGTACTTGCCCTCTTTGCATCCCAGAAGAAAAACCCAATTTTGGTAATTTCTGATCCGTCTATTACACAGTATTTCTCCTGACGGTTGTCTCTTTCTACCTGTTGATATTAACATGTTCTCATTAATATGTTTAGGTAAATGTCATGATCGCATCATCTGTGATGTCACTTTTTGCTGTTGTGATTGTCTTCATTTATGCTTGCGTCACTCTCAGCTATGGAGAAGAGGATGATGAGGTCTTCCATGCCCATCCTATCCCTGAAGTGGTACAGTCACACCAGATTATGTTTATTCTCCCATACGTTAAACGCTCAGCTTAAAACATACAAATGGTTGATAAAGCAGTGTCTTGTGTAGAGGTTCGTGCTCAGCCGGATGGTGAAAGGAGCAAACAGCACCCTTCTGGTGGCCTGCGTGGGGTCTTTGCTCTTTTCTTCTCTCATTGCTTATGTCGGCTGCCGCAGTCTGCCGCTTTGCGGCTGCTACAACTCCGTAAATGGCATGGTGGGTGAAATTTTATGTAAGACAAGAAAGTGCAGTATTCTGAAGTTAGTATACAGTATGCAAGATTGAGCTGATAATTACTGCATGGTTGTGTATTTTACAGGAGTTTCTAGTTCCTCAGAATGACCCTGTTACTCCAACTGAACTTGTATGCACTTGGCAAGGTACGTGAGAGATGTGTTGTTCGAGTGGCTTTGGACACTGAGATAACGAAATCATATTTCATAAGTCATCTGCTATATGAGCCACAACGTATGTCATTATGATGATGTTAGTGAGGATGTGGCCAACTGTAATGAGGTTTTATTTTGCCTCTTGCAGACGGAGATGAGCGAATCTTTCACTCCCCCATGTCATTCATTGATCGCTGTCCTGAGCAGGAACAGCAAGACCTCTCCACGCTTCCACCGTATAGCAGAATAGCTTAGTAATTGATATGTTTTTTTTTTTTTATGTGAAATATTGGTAAATATAGTTAATTAATTTTCCCCATAAAGTGAAAAATGTCCAGATTTCATCAAGCCTGCTTGTTTCAAATCAACTTAAATTTGTTTCTTGATTTTTAAGTTCTTATCAGTGCCATATTTTATATTATCTTTGTGTTTTTTTAGCTTTATACTTTTTACATGATAGACTGATATTTTTGCACATGTAAACCTTTATGTATATATTTTACAATAAACAATATATAACAAATTAAGTGTGCTATTTGCCTCTTTATGAATTTACAAACCATTCATTTCAATGGATGTTCAGATAACATACCAAGGGACAGTATCATTTTTGCAATGTTATTACTTAACATAAATAAGTCTCTAGTCTGAACATTAAGTTCCCATATGTGACCCTCGACCACAAAACCAGTCATAAGGGTACATTTTTTTAAATTGAGATTTATACACCATCTGAAAGCTGAATACATAAGCTTTCCATTGATGTATGGTTTGTTAGGATAGGACAATATAATGGCTGAGATACAACTATTTTATATGAAAATCTGGAATCTGAGGGTGCAAAAAAATCAAAATATTGAGAAAATCACCTTTAAAGTCCAAATTAAGTTCTTAGCGATATTAATACTTGATACTAATCAAAAAATAAGATTTGATATATTTACGGTAGGAGAATTACAAAATATCTTTATGGAACATGATCTTTACTTAATATCCTAATGGTTTTTGGCATAAAAGAAAAACTGATAATTTTGACCCATACAATGTATTGTTGGCTATTGCAACAAATATCGGATATATTTGTAGCAATAGCTAGCCATGCTACTTAAGACTGGTTTTGTGGTCCAGGGTCACATATGCACTTTTATTAGACAAATAAGGCACAACGCTAGTCAGCTGAAATTCAACGATGTGGTACTTTATTTTTTTAGTAAAACACTGAAACAGTTAAAACCAAAACTGCAACAAGCATTGATCTTCTGCACTCCTTTGATTATAGTGCACTGATGGTTTGTTTATTTTCCCAAAACTGTCACTAACTCACTGACCAACATTTGAAGGCATGAGTTGTATCAGACAAATGACTAGTAAAGATATGTTGTGCATGCTTGAGTTCTGGCATTGCAAGGTGCTATTTTATCAACTGCTGACTCCTGATATCATGAATTGGCTCATACACTTTGGTTGCAAAGATGCATAATTATCCCAAGAATAATAAACAATTACCTATAATAAAAATGTAACACTTAAACATGTTAATAATCTTCCATATGTTTTTGTAGATTTTTGAGATCTGCTCATATTTCACATTGTTAACTATGTTATTAATGTGTTAATGAAGACAGAAAAAAACAAATTCTGAAGGACACTTAAAATGGTACATTGGGTGAAGCGAAAAATCAGTACAGACAACCGTGGAGAGAATCCAGACCAAGAGTATGTTTTTATCAAGACCAGTTCAACATGAACCTACAAAAATCATCAAAGCTCATGTTGTTTCTGGCAGATAGATTAGATATGAACCTTCTGTAAGCACCCAGAGTCAAACATTAAGCACAAATAGACAAGTCTTAGTGTGCATTCAACATGTTGCATTTAAATATTTAAGAGCCATCATTAACCGTGCACAATTCCTCAACTAATCACATGCTCCCCTATTGTACCCGAATCAAACAACGCAATGCATCAGCTAATCAGGCCCTTAACCAACTTCAAAAAATTAACCAGAAATCATATGCAAAACCTCTTTTTGGCAATTCCCCATAAAACAAATAAAGCATGTCATGTCTGAGCTTCTTTCATGCACTCCACAGGACCAGCTGTGGTTACATAAAGACATGAGTGAATATTCCTTGTAATGGATTGAACTCTGTTCTGCATATCAGTGTTGGAAAGAAGATGGCCGAAGGGAAAGAATTTATCCATTAGCATATCTGTATATTTGTACTGATAGATTACATACTGAAATATAGACTGATATCAGACCCTTTGTTCAGATTTATGCCATGCACAGAGCAGATGCCATGAATAATATGAGGTACTAATCTGTTATTATACAGTACAGATCATTTTCATTTTGCCTAACAAAGCAGTACTACATACAAATCCTGGCTGTGGACACTAAAGTAGATATTGTCAGCGAATTCTTGTCCCTTTTTACCTAACTTATCTACATTTTGACATGATTCACAGGAAGGACTGGTTATCATGCATAACCCAGATAGATGTCTTTACAGTAGATTTTATTCAGATGAATGGCTGCTAGAAGAAAATAAATTGACAATAAATAAAACACTGGCAGTGAACTAGGACTGGCTCCTTTTTTTGGAAAAAAAAGTATATCAGCTTTATTTTACTTTTAAATTCATCTCACATTTGTCTAATATCTATTAGCAGCACTAATAAATAACCTGCATTTAAGTGTTTGTTCGTCGGTTTCTCTTTTCTCTTGAGAGAACTGACAACTTTCACAGGAAGTGTCTGCATGTGTGTGGGTGACATAGAATGAGAGAACAAACAACAAACACACAGACTAAACCAGATTTAACAGAACAGTTTATCTAATTGCGGCAAAAATTGTTTAAAAAATATGATGAAAAAGGCAACATGTTATGCACGAAGATTTCATTGTTCAATTCACCTGCAGAACTGCAAAAATCTAGAAAATGTAGTGCATGATTGGCAGTGGCATATGATATGAACTAGACAGGCTGACACATAATAGATGAAGCTTGTATATGTAAGGCAAATGGGCCTACATGCAACTTCTCAAAGCCTCTGGAGTGATGGAGGAAAGTTTTTTCCCTTTAAAATAATAGCCAGATCAGATACAAAAAGAAATCTTGAGAAGAGATGTTCCTGTGTCCTCAACCCTTCATGGATAACACAAAAGCACCTCTGAATCTGCTTCTTTAAAACGTGGTGATTCCTTCATTAGCTCCTCCAACATCCACAGCCCCAAGTTCCCCTGTCCTCCTCGTCCTGTCTCCTGAGAGTGACAGTATCTCCTGATCCGCACGGTGGTTGGCTTAACACCAGCGGCTTCTGAGATTTCAGCTTGTGCGCCACTGTCATAAAAATGGCCTCCACGTGGTCACTATTATTCCGACCGCCGTCGTCGTTTCCGTAGGGATTCTTCGCAGAGGTCTCGAACAGAGGCATTGAGTGTGCATCAGCGAACTGCTGCGCTACGTCGGTACTTACTTGAGCGGCATGCCGCAGGTCGCATTTGTTGCCGACCAAGATTCTAGGCACCTCTTGGCCCAAGGCATGCTGACGGCACTCCTCGATCCACGCCGGAAGACTTCGGAAACTAGCGGCATTGGTGACATCGTAGACAAACACCACAGCGTGGACGTTGCGGTAATAGTGCTGCACCATACTCTTTCGAAAGCGCTCCTGGCCTGCGGTGTCCCACAACTGGACCTGGTAGAGGGGAAAAAGGGAGAGCTATTAGCTGTCAACTTATATCATACATGCATATTTGTCCTTTTAAAGGGATAGTTCACCCAAAAATGAAATTTTGTCATTAATTACTCAGCCTCGTGTTGTTCCAAACCCGTTAAGACCTTCGTTCATCTTCGGAACACAAATTAAGATATTTTTTATTAAATCCAAGAGCTTTCTGCATAGACAGCAACGCAACTGAAATGTTCCCAGGTCCAGAAACGTAGCAAGGACTTCATAAAATTATGGTTGAACCCCTGATGTCACATGGACTATTTTACCAATGTCCTGCTACGTTTCTGGACCTGGGAACATTTCAGTTGTATTGCTATCTATGCAGGGTCAGAAAGCTCTTGGATTTCATCAAAAATATCTTAATTTGTGTTCCGAAGATAGACGAAGGTCTTACGGGTTTGGAACGACATGAGGGTGAGTAATTAATGACAGAATTTTCATTTTTTGGGTGAACTATCCCTTTAACATTGCAGGAGAATGCAGGGTGTGTTCACATATAAATGACAAACACATGTAGGTATTATATACATGATAAAGTGTGGGTCTTGTGCATGAGAGTTTTTGGAAATTTACATTTAGTTACATACTACTGCTATGACCAATGTAATGGTGTACCACCAATGTATAGACAGTCTCAATAATAAATCTAACCCTGAATTATATTGGCCATCTCTTCAACCTTATAAAGTCTATTGTAGATGTAGATTGTAAAACAATGTACTACATGCATGATGGTTTATAGTGACAACTGATATTTATACACAAGTATTCTGCTATACTGTTATAAAAACATTACTGGTTTAATTTTGTGAATAAAATCATACTCTATGGGCTATAAAAGCCTTGTGTATCAAATATGGTACAAAACATAAAACACAAACTTTATTTACATTATATATAAAGGTTCAATAAACTAATCTAGTTTAAAAGAGACTGACTAATAATTCGTGTCAGGCTTTACAGGATGACATTAACACATATTGAGTAAATTTGCATAATAAAGTCCTGAAATCAGAAGCATCCTCACCTTGATTTTCTCGCCGTCTATTTCAATAACCTTCTCCCGAAAATCCACCCCGATAGTGGCCTCAGTTTTGTCTGGAAACTTGCCTGCACAGAATCTATAGGTGAGGCAAGTCTTGCCAACTCCAGAGTCTCCTATCACGATGATCTTAAAGATTCGAGTCCGCGGGGGAGGCAGCGAAGAGCTGGTCAAAGATGAGCCAAATTCGAAGGAGGACTCGATATGAGCCATGCTGTCTTCCTATAGACAAACGAGTGCCTCAGAGAATGGCACCGTGAAATGTGCTGATGCTAACGGGTCAAATAAATAATTCAAACGCAGGTTTAGTTTAACCTTAAGCCCTTCACCTCAAGCTTCATGTGCAAAACTTAGAGATTCAAACGTCGGGGACTGTATTTGACGTGTTGACCGGTAGACTCCGCATTTTGCTGATGCATTCCTGGCGGAGTCTTCTTACACTGTTTGGGTCTGTCTGTAGCCACGTACGACGTTGAGTTGACATAACTGTAATCTCGCGAGAAGTCACATAATACTGAGAGCGTTTTGTGTGGTACTTCCAGACAATACAGTATACACAAAAGAGCATAACAAAACTGAAACTACTTACCAGTGTAAACAGAGCGCACAAAACACACACACAAACTACATAAATATGGAAGTTATTCTATTATATTCTATTGTAATATATGCATGTATTATAAAAAAGGGGGTGGAAGTTTTTACTTCTTTGCAGTGACTTGATATTTATTCTTGTAACATTGCAGGAGAATTGCACTAAAAGGATTTAGTCGAGTTTGTTTACTGATTCGTTCCCTTAAAAGCTTTGTTAAAAACACCGATTCGTTCACGAAAGAATCTTCACTAGTCATGTGTGGCTAAAAGTAAACAGTGCAGTGACACTTTCAAAGTCCAACTCTAGATTTATTTACTGGACGACTGCAGAAAATGTTGGTAAGTTCTCGTGATGTGCGACTGCTTTAAAACTAATAACACCCCCATTAAAATGTATATTTTCAGTACTATAGGCCGTATGTATGTATGTAGGCATATATATATATATATATATATATATAATTGCGTCTCT